TGTGTATTTGTATGTGTCTATGTATGGGGATGTGCACTTGAATGCGGGTGCTGGTGGAGGCTAGAACACAGGTCAGATCCCCCGGAGCTGAGGTTACAAGTGGTTGTGAGCCACCAGATGTGAGTGCTGGGACTGAACTTGGGTCTCCAACCAGAGCAGAGCATATTCTTAGCCCCCGAGTCATCTTTCTGGTCCCCGGAAGCTGATATTTAATATGTCTTCTTCTGCCATTTTGTAAGTCAGCAGCTTTTCCCAACTGTCCCAGAGCCTCATCTTTCTCCCCTTGTCTCTCTGTTTTCTCTCTGGCTTCCGATGGCACCATCCACCCCGACACCAAAGCATCCTCCAAACAAACTGCCACCTCTCTGATAGTACCCATTTCCTGTCTCCCCTTGACATTTCCAACGAAACTCAAAAGCCCTTTTATCATGGCTTCCAAGATACCCCACGACTTGGCATCACCTGTTTTCCACAGTGTGATCTTCTCTCCATCCTTTCTCCTTCTCCTCTAGGTCTTCTCTTTCCTCTCACCAAATAATGACTTTTCTGCCCATGCCAAAGAAAGCCAAGCTCAGCGCCTTTGCACTAGCTGCCTCTGAGACACAGCTCTGCTTCTCTCCTTCCCTGCAGTTCACTCGCACGGTTAGGTATCTGCCTTGGTATTCCCCTTTTCAGAGAACCTCAGACAGCACCCCTCCTTTCTCGTGTTTACCTTTTCTTTAAAACCCTTATGACTCCTATTCTTTATTATATTACCCCCATCCATTCTACCTTTGAATACAGGCGCCATGAAGAGACTCAAGAAATGTGTGTTGAATGAAGACAATGGAGCAAACACATGGTGTCTGTTCCAACCCAGACACTGGGATGCCAGTCAGGGGTTCCCAGAGGAAGTGGTGGTGCAATGCCAACTGGTCACACATTCAAGGGCCCTGGAGCACACCAAAGGAAATTCTGCTATGGGTCACCTGGGTGGTCAGAGCCATGCTGTCCCCGTTACCAGGACTGTTCCCCCATCTTTGTCTCTTCACCAGCTCTCCATGGTTGGCAGGAAAACAGATTGCTAGCATGTTCTTCAGACAAAAAACCATAAGGGGGCTTCACATTATAGAGTTCTTGGTGATGTGGCTTTCCTCCAGAAACATTCCCACCTTGGCCTTGAGTGGCATAGGATGCAACTAACCGCAGCTTATTGTGGGATGCTCTGTGCACCATTCTCCCCCTCCCCCACCTCCTAAATGGAGTCAGAGCCTCTGGGTCCTTTTCTTTCCCCTAGGAGGCATTTTCTGTTGGCATCCATGATAGAAGCTGGGTAAGTTGTGTCAGTTGTCTGGAGGAAGAAAATTAAGTGTTAGGAAATGTTTTAGTCCATTTTCTGTTGCTATAACTCAATGCCACAGACTAGGTAATTTGGAAAAAGATTGGTTTAGTTTATTGTTCTAGAGGCGCCTGGTGAGGACTTTCTTACTGTATCTCACGGTGGAGGACACCAAATGACAGGGCACAAGTATGCCCCTTAGGTCTCTCTCTCTCTTTTTTTAAAAAAAAATGTATGTGGTGTATGTGTGTATTCATGTGTGTGCACATGTATACACGTACATACATGTGCACATGGAGGGGTTAACATTTTTCTTGACTGCTTTCCACATTATTATGATTATGATTATGACTATGATTTTGACACAAAGTCTATTCACTGAACCGGGAGTTCGTTGATTCTGTTAGACAGGGTAGCCAGCAAGCTTCCAGGGGCCGCCTGTCTCCACTTCCCCGGCTCTGGAATTACAGACTTGTGCTTGGCTTTTGATATGGTGCTAGGGATCCAAACTTAGGCTCTCATGCTATGGACACACATTTTACCTGCTGAGTCCTCTCCCTAACCCCTATGGTCTGCTTCCTGGATCACAGAGCTCCTTCTTCATGGCCTTACCTGATCTTAAGTACCTCTGAAGGCCATTAACATGTGAATACATTATCTGTTCCAGAGTGACACACCCCAAACATAGAAACAATGGTGCTCTCTTTCTCTCTCTCTCTCTCTCTCTCTCTCTCTCTCTCTCTCTCTCCCTCTCTCTTCCTCCCTCCCCCCTCCTTCCCCTCTCTATCCTTCCCTTCAGTGTTGTTGGGGATTGAGCTAAGATCTTCTTATGCATGCTAGGTAACTGTTCTACTCCCTTAGTCTCAGAGAACTTCAGTGTCCTAGGGGCTGGGAGATTCCCAGGGTGAGCCCTATCCCAGGGTTCCCCTCTACAATAGAGTTATATGGGTCAGTGTCTGTCTTTCCATAAGTTTTCAATAGGGAAGCATGCTGAGAGATGTGTTTTTAAGGCCGAGTCTGAATGTGGAGCTCTACTGTTGATTTTCTACACGGAGTTTGAAGCATCTCTTCTGGAACAGAGGTGTGGCGTTCTTGCCTTCCAGGCCATGGAGCTTAGCTAGGATTGCCTCCCTGGGGCTTTTACACAGTCTAAAGGAGGGCAAACCTGTCCACCCATTTCCACGGCATCTTTGGCAGGAGAGAAATGGTCCAAGCGAATCAAATGCTACCCCAGCCCCTGCTCATTTGCTGTGGTGTCCTCAACACAGAGAACAATGCGCCCTACAGGGGGCACTGGGCACTTGCAGGATCACTCATCCCTCTTTTCGGTTCTGATGAGCAGACACTTCTGCCCAGGGTCCATAAACAGAGTTCATTTTATAAAGACACATTGTCTGGAGAGCGTGACTCTTCCCTCTGACGGGAGAGTGCGAGTCCCACGCAAAGGGCTTCAGCAGCCGGTGCAGAGCTGCAGCCAAGCAGACAGGACCCAGTTCTACGCCCTGCAGACCCGAAGCTATGGCATCTGCTCCACTCGTCTTGCCCGGGGTGGGGACTTTGGTCAGAAGCTCAGAGCAATGAATGCTCAAGGTCAGAGAGTGTGGACGATGGCTCCTCATCCACGGAGATAACAGCCGAAGACCAGAGGATCCAAGATGCTGTTAGGTGTCTTGCCTTATGCCACGTTTTCACTTTTCTCCCTCCCTCCCTCTTTCCCTCCCTCCTTATCTTCCTCCTTCTTCTCTTCTTCCCTCCCTCCATCTTCCCATTCCACCACCTTTTCCCTTTCTTCCTCCAGTTTTTTCCTCCCTGCCTGACTCCTTTGGGCTTTGGTTCCCCCATCTTTGTTTCCCTCTGTATATTTTCTTTACTATTAGCCAACTATCCTCGTCTTCCAAGGTCTATGTTCCTGCTCTTCCAAGCATTTGAACTCAACCACAGCACCCCCTCTAGCCTCAGAGCCACACATCTAACAAGCTCAAGATGACACCTCCTGCCTGGCAGCCTGAGTCTCAATCTCGAATTCCAGCAGACTCCTACAGGCCCAGTAGGGATGAGATGTCACATGTACCCAGTCAGGTTCAGGGTAGGGGGTAGAAGTCATGTGGCTTGCCGGGCTTGGGCCGTCCAATCTGTGAACAGGGTTGGGTTCTCTCAGAAACGGGGGAGGCTGAGAAGGAAATGATTGCTACATCAGATTCACATAGCTATATTCTTTGTCTGTTGCTTCAGATGGGCTCCCGGATGGTAAACAGAAGGACATTTCCACAGGTGACCAGCCAAGTGTGACTTCTAACTGCCATTTAGGCGCTATAACATCTCGGACAAGCCATTTGGTGTCTTTGATCCTTAATTTGTTCGCCTGTATAGAATCTGTCTCAGAATTTCTGGGAATTAAATAAAGCTGTGCTATTAAAATGAATTTGTTAGACCAATAGGAAAGTAGTTCTCTCTCTAACCTAGGATCTCAAAGAGCTGTGTGACCGCAAAGGCCAAGCTGATCTTACAGCAGGTGCTTCTGATCAGGCATTGCTGGGCAGTATTCACTTTGAGGAGAAAAGCAAAAGCTTTACCACATACCACAGTCTCTCTACTACAAAGGGAGACAGAGGCATAGAATGGGGGTCGGTTGTGGAGTGGAGTCATATGTGGCTCTGTTCCCTACTGGCCATGGGATGGAAGGCTCAGTTCTCAGTACTCATCCTCAGCTGCTCTGATTGTGGACTAGAATCACAGCCCCGCTCTTCCAGGGTTATGTGGACATTAGTATAATGACCTGGAGTTAGGCAAGCCGTCCATGAACCAGAAACTGCTACCCCTCGTAATCTGAGCTACAGAAACACAGCAAACACGGAACAAACAAAGACTCGGCTCGGCTTGGTGTAGGGAGAGGCAAGCGATGACAAATGTACTAGAGTCACCCAGGGAGACTCTCGGTTGAGGAACTGCCTCCTCCATCAGATTGGCCTAGGGGCAATCCTGCAGCATTTCCTTGGCTAATGATTGATGTGGGAAGGCCTAGACCATTGCGGGGCGTGTCACCCCTGGACAGGTGCTCCTGCGCTGTATCAGTTCCTGCCTTTAGGTTCCTGCTTTGAGTTCCTATCATGACTTCTCTCAACTATAGACTGTAACATTTAATCCAAACAGGCCCTTTCCTCCCCAAGTTGGTTTTAGTCGTGTTGATCAGAGCAATAGGATAGGAAATGAGAGCCATAGTGCTTTGAGGTCTTTTGTGTTGTGTGTGTTCACGTCTGGCCAGGTGTGTGTCCATGGAGCTGGAGGACAACCTCAGGTGTCATCCTCAGAAATGCCACCCACTTCCTTACAGGCAAGGTTTCTGATTAGTCTAGGATGGCTGGCTAGAACCCCACAGGGATCTTTCTGTTGCTGTCTCCCTCATGCTGGGGTTGCGAGCGCCTGCCATTTTAACATGGGTTCTGGGGTCGGATGCAGGATAGCTTGGCCACCGGAACGATCTCCACCACAGCCTTATTTCTGTTTCTGAGGTTAGCCTCAAACTCACTGTGTATCCAAGGATGCCTTTGATCTCCTGATCCACCACAGCCTTAGGGAGTCTTAGGGGGTCCTAACCCCAACCAGGTAGCCTCAGTGCCCTTCCCACCCCTGTGGAAGACCCATCCTTAGTCACAGAGAAATGTGGCCCATGGCAAGAAGTGGGTGAGTGTCCACGGCAGAACATTTCCACTTTATTCTCTGTAAACTCTTCTTTGGTAAACAAGAAGACAAGAATCCCCAAGATGAAAGGAACACACAAGTCAAGAACACAAGAGGGCAATGGCCCTCCAGCACAGGACCTCTGAGAGGACAGCTACATCTTTAGCAAGCTGGTGGGCAGAACCTGGAAAATTCGGGGTTGGTGGTAGCCTGGGGCAAAGGTCAGGGGCAGCAAGAGGAAAGAGTCCATTCTGTTGGACTCAGAAGCCTAAATCATACAGCGAAGGAGCTCATGCATCACAGCGCAGAGACTAGGGGAGCTCCACCCGTGCCCCCACCCACCACCCACGTGACTGGTGATCCACGGCAAGCAGAACTGTCCGTCTGGCCAGGGTTGGGCTGGGGCAGCTCGAAGGAATGCTATCAGCCACCCGCTCTCCTTTCCCGCTCCACAAGCTGGTGTGCGCAGGTTGCAGGGGTGGGGGAGGGTCGGTATTGCTCACTAGGTCTGGGAAGGAGTGTCAGAGAGACAGGATATTGGGGGCAGGGTTTAGGGGAGGTGCAGAAGCAGCCCCTGTCCCTTCACCCCTTTACATGGGGGGCTCACTGCAGAGCACAATCTCCAGGTCCTTTCTGTAGAGTTTCCCCGCCTCAGCCAAGGACATGACGCTCTTCCTGTAGGTGGTGAGCTGTTGGATGTTCATCTCCTGGGAGGCAGAAAGAGGTGAGAGCAGACTTGGTGCAAGGCCTCACACAGAGGGGTTCCCTGTCCCCGCCACTGCCATGCGCACACTCACAAAACACGCTGAGCTGCGGGAACCTTCCTTTCACCTCACCTTAGGGTGAACAGTCAAGAGGGACAAAAAGCATGTCTCAGCAGTCAAATGGGAACACCAACAACCCTTGCCTCCAGGTGGGATGGTGACGGCCAGGTTGGGAAATGAATACACTTAGCATCTGTGCTGAGGGGTTCAGGGACAGTGGGGTACAGCGGTGACAGTTATGGTCTCTGTATGAGTCAACTCTACCCCTCCACTTCCCTAGAACTCCATTTACTCAGGGCAAACTTAGGTCTCTAGGTAATGGAGACAAGGTCAGGAAAGGCCCCTGGCCCTGTTTCCAGGCCTCCTGGACCATATGTCCCTAAGCTGCCTCCATTTTAATCAAGGAGGGCTTGCTTATCTTCTGTCTCCTCTAGCAACAAAGCTCACCAGCTCTCCTGTTCACAGGCTTCCTGTGGTCTTTGGGGACCACTGAGGTAGAGAGACCATAAACACATCCTGTGGTGCATATAGACCAGAGGCCAGTTTAAAAAAAAAAGTAAACAGGACCACGAACACCTGAGTCCTTACGTTAAATAGGCATCATAATAATTGCCTAGGATACAGATGGTCCACGGGTCTGGCATACAGCAAGGTCACCCTAGCAATGGCGGAATGATTATCTTTTCTTCTCATCTCCGGCTCATTCTCTCCCTCCCCCTTTCCTCCACGCTTCTCCTCCTCTTAAGTGTTACTACTGTTTTGCATGGTTGGGATTCAAAGCCAGGGCTTTTCTAATGCTAGACAAATACTGTACCACCAAGCTGCACCCCCAGGCCCCTTTCCTTATTCTTTTTTTGTGTGGTAAACATTGGCAGATATCTTAAAAATACACTTCCCCTTTCATGTTGATGGGTCCTTATCTCAGTTCTGCTGATGAGAAAATAGAAGGATAAAGGCTAAGCCACTGACTAAAAGGCTGGATCACCGCATCAAAAATATATCTTCAGTCCCGGAGCCTCAAGCTCAACCTACTTACCTCACCTCCCTGTGTTCTGTCCCTCTTTCACGGGGTTCAGCTGTCAGTGTCTGTCTTATATAGTTCAGAGACAACCTCTCAAATCAGTGATTCCTAGTCGCATGCACTGTCCCCACCCGAATCCATTCTGAAAGCCTCTCTAGAGTGAGGAAGACCTTCCCTAAAGTTGTGAGGTCCCTGGAAAGGTCATGCACACTGTGAGAGGGATATGTGCCTCAACTATCAACCCCAAACTTGAAAACAGTTTCAGCGGGGAGTATGGCAGGGAGGGACAGCCTAATTCTTACGTCTTGGGGTTCCTTTCAAAACTTGGGAAAGGCCTTAGGTTGCTACCACAGCCTTAGGAATGCCACGAGCTATTGAAGTTTAGCCCCTGCAGGAGTCTCCAGCACGAGTCTGCTTAGAGACCTTATCATAGCCAAGCCCGCACCCTTAAAACGAGGCTGCACCTGCTGTGTGAGCTCACCCAAAACGGCCTCTTCCCTGCCCAGCTCAGGTGCTGAGACTCAGTGACGCAGCTTCTCCTCTGATTCATCCTCTCAGCGTCCAGGTGCCAAGCCTGGGGCTGGCACATGTGGAAGGCTCCCATGTCAACAGCCTCTATTAACACCCTCTTCTCCCACCTTCAGGGCTGCTCCAAATCCTAGCACCCGACTCTTGGCTTTTGTCTGCACAGCTGAGGCCAACCTGTGCAGCTCTGTGCTCTGTTCCTCACACTGACTAAGAAGGAGCCCAGTGAGTTGATGACCATGAAGTGCGGGCCGCTGAGGTTTAACGCACGTGTGCGGAGTTTACCAACCTCACGCATTAGGCGTGGCCTTATAAGGACTAATAATGCTTCATTAATGCGATTCAAGCCAAAGATGGTTTTTCTTGCAGCCTCCTAATATTCACTGGAGCACATACGGCTGCATAAATGATTTTCTGTTGGGATTCAGTGTTAGGAAAGGGGTTTGCTGGGTTCTAAGACTGGCTCTAAGAAGGCTTTCTTCTTCCAGGACCCATCTGAACCCTTATCACTTACATTAAAATGTAACGGAAGTATGAACTCAATGAAGGCTGTTACTCAGAGTGAAGCCGCAGGACCAGAAAAAACCCTTGCAAAGAGAGATAAATGAACCCAGAGGCTGCAGTGATTTTTTTTTTCTGAAACTGAACATTAAATTTAGCTCTTATTTGGCGGCCAAGGCGGTTGGACAGCTCGAGGAGTTACAGAAGGTTTGCCATCTAATTAAAGCTAGCAGCCGTCATTTTCTCTGTGAAAGCCATGGTCTGGCAGGTGAAGGAAGACGGTGGTCGATGAGGGCTCCTGCCTTCTGGTCGCCATTCCACCTGATCCCTTCCACCCAGGGTTTGGAGGTGGGACGCCTCTGGAGGATTCCCAAGCGGCAGTACCAGGCACAAAACTGATTTTCTCAGCCTTTACTTTGAGAGAAACAAACTCTTCACTAATTCCCTTCTTGCTTCTTCCCCAGTTCTAGGTTCTGCAGTTAATGAATTCGGGACAGTCCTTTCCCCTGTGGGCTTCTGCCCTCCAAAATCTCTCTTTGTGTTAAAAGCTTTTCATGATGGCCACTTGGCTGGTACCTCTACAGGATGGGCTATATCAACATGGCCACCACCTCATAGCGTCATCATCCATAACAGGCAACACATAGAAGCAACACGTGGGCAAAGGTGGCAAATGGGTATAGACAGAACGGTTTACACATGGAGGCAATTATCAGTCAGCTCTAAAAGAGGGAGAATTCTGAAGTGTGACGACATGGGTGAGCCTCGAGTTCAGCATGCTGAGGGAAACGAACCACAGAGTAAGCATGTTTCTCCCCTTCTGTGTGGCACCCACGGCAGTGACACCGACAGATGTAGACTGCAGTACAGCAAGAGATGGGAGAACCGGGTTGCTGTGGGTGTGGGGTTTCAGCTTTCCAGGATGAGAATTGCAGGCATGCTGCTGCTTACACAGCGTGATGGATATACTGTATGTATCCGACAGTCTTTAAAAGGGTTACAATGATGAACTTTGCTATGTGTATTTTAAGTCAATCATCCTGACAACGACAGCTCAGCCCACAAACTGCCACTGCCCTGTCACCTCAGCTCAGAGATGAGAGAATTCATTCTCAGCCTTTCCCAGCCCTGGGCTCATTTCCTCACCTTCTTGTTCTTCTCATACAGATCCTTCAGGAGGGCATCCAGCTCATTCTCATCAATGTAGCCGCTTCCATCCTGAGGGTGGCAGCAGAGAGTTGTCAGCGCCGTGCTCTGAACTCCAGCCCCAGTCACCCTGACCACAGCTCTTTCCCCAACCTGGCCTGTGGGTGCGCCTGTGACTGTGTGTCTGTGTGTGCATCTGTGTGTGTGACTGTGTCTGTGTGTGTATCTCTGTGTGTGCGCCTAATCTCCCCGTTTCTCCGTGCAAAGACAAGTGTTCAGACCATACAAGGAGAGAACAATGCACTTTCTGTCAACACCAGTCCACCATCGTTCAGTACAAACTCCTGGACTCCTCTTCTGCTGGTGTTTCTCATTTGTATTGTGATACAAATGAAGTCCCAGAAGCTTAGAGTTAACTTAATTAATTGTTAAGTCAACCTCCAACCCTCTCGTTATAAAGGAGACCACCAGAGCCACACGCGCAGGGGTCAGCTAAGATTGGGGTGGGACTAGGAGGTGATTCTCACCTCCAGAGTCCCAGAAAACAACTGGCTGAGCTAGGTATGGTGGCACAAACACCCCAAGCCTGTCGGTCTAGCACTCGATAGGCTGAGACAGGAGGATGAAAAGTTTAAAGGCGTCTCAGCCTGCACAGCAAGACTGTCAGAACTGAAACCAAATCAATTAAAAATAAAAGATGGAAAAAACAAAGCAACCAAACAAATAACGGACTCTACTGCTGTCTCATCGCCACGCCCTGACTCTGGGCACCACCTTCCTCCGTTAACTCTTAAAAACCAACACACAAACCCAAAACCTGTTTTCTATTATATTAGTAAGAAATCAGATCTGTGGACTCCTGCAGGTCAGGAATCAAAGAGCGCCATTTGCCTTCCCATGTACCAGAAGAAAGAATCCACAGGCCCAGGTGAACCCTCTGGAAAGCGGGTCTCCTCCTACGGACCAAGCAGTTCTGGCCATTGCCACCGCAGGTGACAAGCTTCTGCTTTTCCACCCCATACTCTTCCCTCTCACCTTGTCATAAAATGTGAAGATGGCATTGAACTCTTCTGAGGTCAGCTTCATACCCTGGAAAAGACCAAAGAATTAAAGAGACGAATCCCCAAAGTGTAAGTGTGGGGGAGTGAGGTTAATGTGTAAGAAATCATATAAGTTTGCATGACTCTGTGTGTGTGTGTGTGCGTGTGTGCATGCATGTGTGTGTGCATGTGTGTACACATGTGTGTGCATGCATGTGTGTGCATGTGTGTGCATGCATGTGTGTGCACATGCGTGTGCGTGCGTGTGTACACATGTGTGTGCATGCATGTGTGTGTGCATGTGTGTGCACATGTGTGTGCACATGCGTGTGCATGTGTGTGCATGCGTGTGCACATGGGTGTGCATGCATGTGTGTGCATATGTGTGTGCATGCATGTGTGTGTGTGCATGTGTGTACACATGTGTGTGCATGGATGTGTGTGTGTGCATGTGTGTACACATGTGTGTGCACGTGCGTGTGCATGCGTATGTGCTGTTGGAGCAAAGGAGGCCAGAGAGATGAGAGGATGGAGGAACTAAAAGAAAACAGAGACATTGGTACCTGAAATTTCAGCAGGAAGTTTTCTTGTACTGGCAAGAGTCTGGAAAGCCAACATTAGAGCAGAGATTAGAGGACACGCCATGGGCAGCAGCCACTCACACAGGGAAGCAGGGCATAGAGGCAACATCTGTAGCCATAGGCACGGTCACAGAGCACTTTATAACCAGGAGTTAGTTAGGGTGTTAAAAATACATAAATAAAAGAAACGGACAAAGTGTGGTATCAAGATTTCCAGTTCTAGCTGGTTTTGTTTTGGGCTCAGACAAGGACAGCAACACAGGCCTGTTCAAAGTGACACCAGGGTGGGCGTCATTACCTGGACATCTCGGAGAGGCCCAGTTTGCCATCTCCATTCAGGTCAAACATCCGTAGCTGTTGGGAACAGAAAGAGGTGACAGGGTTATCTGTCTGACCTTCTCACATCAGGGCCTCCACCTGCCATTTTTTCCTCTGGGGTCACTTGAAGCTAGGGATCCGCAAGGCCCAAGTCAGTCACTGGGGGGAGACAGTGACGATTAAGTACCAGCTATCTCTCCCCTTCTGGGGGTGCTGAAATACAACAGCCATCACTAAAGGCCCGCCCTCTCAAGGTTCATCCTCTCCTGGAGCTCTATCAGTTCCCATGGAAACAGAGAACCCCCTACCCCAGTATCACTGTGCTTTGGGAATAAACTCAATGAGGACCACCAAGGATGCATGCAGCTATGAACTTGCGTCTGCCGCCATGAGTCATCACACATAGGCCTGAACCATCAGTAGGGCTGGGAGCCCATAGCCCACACCAGAAGGGGCCATGCTAACACTTACTATGGTCTGGGTGTACTCCTGAAGCTTAGGTTCATCATAGGGCCGGTTGGCCTTCTTCAGGAGGTCAGACAGGAACCCCTGGAACACCAAAGGCCTCTTCAGATCCCGACTTGCTCACTCAGTCCCTCACCTGTTCACTTATGTATTTATTTAGACAAAGCTAATCTTGGAGATCTACCAATACATAGCTTACATTTCTCTTCTCAAATCCTTTATCACTTGCAGTATGACCGTAAAGGCCTCTAACTGACTCCTGGGTACATACAACCTTGCCCATAGAATAGGTGGTAGAGACTGGCTCTGACTCCCTCCTCAGAACACAGGGCCCAGGTGTGCCCAAGGATCACTGATTTCCCAGAGGAATTGGGGAAACTGTGTAAGTTAGATAGCCAGTCTCCTGGGATTTCCTCAGGGGTACCTGTATTAGAGGGTGGTTTGGCTAAATGCTTGGTCCTGTAGCTCCCCCATTGCAGGCACAGGACTTCTGAAGTTCAACATCTGTGCCAGGATCGAGTACCCCTAAGGGACTACAAGCCCATGTTCCTCAGCCAACAGCCCCTTCCTCCCTGGTTGTCGAGATCCACCAAGACTCTGGCCTCAGCTTTCTTCGCCGCGTCCTCTACACCATCGCTAAGGCCACCAATCATACCTTGAGCTCATTGGCTTCGATGTAGCCACTTCTGTCTGTATCATACTTCCGCCAAGCCTGCAACAGGAATGCCAACCTATTTATAACATGTGTCAAACCCTGCCACCTTCCCCTGTTCTCTGTAATGGGACGGATTGGGACTTGGTGTCTAAGGCTGTTAAGGGTCCTCACTCTACCAGAGGACATGAGAGTCTCTCAGTCAAGGCCACACCGAAAAGGGGGGAAATCGCCTGGATGAGATCTCTTACTTAAATCTGAGACAGGCTTAGGCCCTCTTTTGTATTTGCTGCTTGTTTTGTTTGGTGGGGGAAGTATGGTGTGCACATCATTGCGTGCCTGTGGAGGCCAGGAGACAACTTGTAGAAGTTGTCTTCTCCTTTCAACGTGTGGGCTCTGGAGCTTGAACTCAGGTCATCAGACTTGGCAGCAATCACCCTTTGTCATGGAGCCATTCCACTGGCCCCTGGGTCCTCTTTCGGATCAAGCTGTAAACTAGGGTTGACCTTCTCTAAGTGCTAAGCAGGCAGCTTTGTTCAGGGACGTAACAAGGACCTAATGGAGCTTAGGTTTGCTTTGGGTTTGAGGTTTTCTTTTTATCGAAGAGGAATGAGAGATGAGGCAGGGGTCTGAGGAGAACTCTGGAAGGAGCCGGTGCTCCTCTATCCCTCCATCATGATGTCTTCAACAGGTGTGCTCAGTGGTGAAGCAGACTCGGCAGTGCAGTTGTCTATTTTAGACTGTTCCCCAAACACCGCCCCTCGACCTTCCTTCTCCCCTCCTCCCTTCGCCCTCTCTGAGAAGATCTTCCATCTTCCACTCTCAGTCCATATGGTTTAAGGAATATCGCCCGCCATCTCCAGAGTAGCACGTGACCTAGGCCTCTGGTCTCCCCACTCCAGTCTGAGTTTCTTCTTTGGTGAAGGTACTAGGACCTGGGCCCAGCTTGCCGACCACAGCAAGAGCATTCTTTAACTCCTTCGTAGACAGTCTCAGCAGTGGGACACCGTGAGGATGGACAATCTTCCGGCCTCCAGCCCAGCTGGCATCCTGACTGAGTTCACAAGCCATTCTAGACCAGGGCCACCTGGGGAAGCTGACTGAACTACACTGTTAGATAACAGGTCTCTGTTGCATGAATGTGTTATGCGTGGGGGATAATTTGTTACATAGCAACAGGTAGCTTACCATGTTCTGAGAACACGGGTCCCATAGACAAGGGCTCTGAAACTATCAGGTAGGGGATGAGGAGAGAGGGCAGGGAAGGTACTGCCTGGGTTCACGGCAAAGAGTCCCAGGGAACCTTGTTCCCCAAGTATTTGGTTTATTTTTTGTAATTCATAATTTTTTTTTCTAGGTTTCTTTCAAATTTTGTTCTTTTGACTTTTCTGCCCATCATTCCTGGCTCCAAATCTACACACAAATACCATCCACTCTGGGTTTCTTGAGAGGGGGAAAAGGTTAAATCTCTTGCTTAAATTTCCCTCCAGCATGCTTCCACCTCTCTATGGGTGCATCCCCCGTTGACAAGAGTGTTAGAACTTAGAGAGAATTTAGGGCAGTGGGTCTCAGCCTGTGGGTTTCAATCCCTTTGGGGGTCGCATGTCACATATCCTGCATAATATTAGATATTAGATAAATTAGATATAAATTAGAATTCAAAACAGTAGCAAAATCATAGTTATGCAGTAGCAATAAAATATGGTTGGGGGTCACCACAGCATGGGGAATTGTACTAAAGGGTAGCAGCATTAGCAAGGTTGAGAAACACTGAATTAAGGTCCTTCTTTTCTATCAGAAAAAGAAAAAGATGTGTTTTTTTTTTCTAAGTGTCCTGAGCACTAGGACACTTAGACTTGTTTTTTTTTTTCAATTATGAGACACAAGCAAATCCATACAGCTTGGGCAGCTGTCACCCAGTCTTCTGCAGGGCAGTGTCCAGACGCTGTCCTAACCACAATCCTGCAGCAGGTTTTACCCCCGCCTCCCCAAGCCCACCTTGCTCTATGCAAGCACTGGGCTCTAAGCTCTCAACTTCCTTTCCCTTCCACCAAGCTGACCCGATTCCCATTTGCAGAAAGGAGTTAAAGAGACCTGGGCTTTGTAGAATCTCAAGGAAGGTCCTGAGGTGTTCCTAAAATTAGATGTTAAGTGTTGTGCTGTGCGGGATGCGGTCTACGGGGGAGCACAAGCCCTGCAAGGCTTCTGAGGGACCATTTCATGTTTGGAGATGTCAAGAATGGAAAGAATGGCTAACCCCAGGAAGGGGTGGTTCTGGGGTGGGAATCCCAGGAGGTGTGTGTGTGAGAGTGAGGCTGGGCTGGCTCTGCAAATATTCCCGGGTTTAGAAGAGCAAAGGCATGCAAGAGAATAGCATTGTGTCACATGGAGAGACACTACAGAGAGTAACAGAGAGAGAGAGAGGGAGAAGGAGGGAGAGAGAGAGAGACGGAGAAAGAGAAAGAAGGAGGGAGGGGGAGAAGGGAGAGAGAGGGGGAGAACGAGAGAGAAGGAGAGGGAGAAAGAGAGAGAGGAAAGGAGAGGAGAGGAGAGGAGAGAGAGACAGAGAGAGAGAGAGAGAGAGAGAGAGAGAGAGAGAGAGAGAGAGAGAATTTGCTTCTTTTTAAGCATCTCTGATTCTTCAAAGCTACCTGCATCCCCGCTTCCAGACCAGAGATGGAACAGGGACCAATTTCCACATCTCTATACAGAAAGGAATGGGTAGACACAGCCCTATCTTCCTTTCCTATTTCCTCCCTGCTTTCCCATCCTTCCTCCCCTTTCCCCTTCCTGCTTTCCCTTCTGTGTTAGGAACGAAGTCCAGGGCCTTGCACATGGTGGGCAAGCATCCACCACTGAGCTACATCTTCAGCGCTACCCTTATCTGTTTTCTATAGAAAAAAAAATGGACCCTTGCAAACATTGCCTTCGGACACATGCTAAGGAGGTACCAAGACAGCCAAAAGAGCTGAGGAAGGAATTCAGAACATCAGATACTGGCTTACAGAGTCTTGTCATCGCAGAAAAACTTGATAAAATCTTCTAAAGCATCATAAAATTAAGGACATATCTCATGTTTGGACGAGCTGCACTGAAAGGAATGACTCTGGAAACCTAAGAAGTGGTTCTTTCCAACCTGGGGATCTCACTGAGGCATGAGTTCTGATTCAGTATGGTGGGGCGTCTACAAGGACTCTGGTGATGTGGCTGATGCTGCTGTTACCACCCGTGCACAGACCACACCTCAAGTAGTAGGGCCCTGTGGTTAGCATCTCCAGGGATTCTCTGCAGGGTCAGGGCAGGCCTTCTCTGTACCCAAGAGGAAGGTAGGTCTCCATAGTGGAGAGAAGGCTCACCTCCATAAACTCGGCGCTGGAGCCCACATGCTGCCTGAAGCACAAAAGGAAATTCTCTTCCGTCGGCAGGATCTGTGCCAGCTGGGAAAAACCGAAAACCGCATCAATATGGGGCCAGGGGTGGTGGGGGTCATGACACGGACATCAGGGAACAGAGCCGGCTTTCCCACAGGAAGGATGGGAAATGGCTACCGACAGGCGCTTATGGAAGTCAACACTTTGCTCTATATCATTTCCTTTCTTGACAACAGAAGCTGGCAGCTCTTCTAAGGGATAGAGGGTTCTAAGAAGAGATCCCGGGTTACCCCAGTCTTTATGGTAAGGGGCAGCTTGACAGACAAAAAGAGCACTCCTTTAAACTGTGGCTACCCAGACTAGAAAGAGCACTTAGGGGAGGACCCTCCCCGAGTGTTTAAAACCTGTAAGAAGTGCAAACTGATGTAGGTAGATGGATGGATGCCTGGGATGGCCTGCCTTACTCCAGGAAAGGGATCGTTATAGGTACGTTGGTTGTTATGGTAACAGCACGGTCCAAAGTCTAAACATCTCTTTGGGATGTTGTTGTATTGACTGCAAACTAACACTTTAACAATTCCATTCTTAAAAACTGCAGATACCCACCTTGTATCCAACACAGCTGGCAGCCTTCGTAACTGTTCCCCCCCACTTCTCTCCCAGCATCCCAGGGCTAAGGCAAATCCTAACAAGTTTAACTAAATGAGAAAATCCTGATTGGCTTTTGGAATAGGCACATGACCCAGTCTGGCCAATGACATGTGAGAGGAGGGCTGCTGTGGATTGTGGGAAAGGTTCCCTTGTACTTAAAGGGGGACACAGTCTGCAAACGGACATTGTTGTCTGTGGATGTGATTTCTGGGATGTGCAGCCATCTGGTCACAAGATTGGTTAAGACAATGGTTTTTTGGAGCAGGGGACAGAGCCAAGAGAGGCAGAACCAGAGCCAACCTTGACCATGGCCTTACTCAGTAGTGTCTCTTGACCTAAATGAGGAATGAGTAAACCAAGGCCAAGTGCCACACGTGACCGGAGCCTTGTTTGTAAAGTTCTAGCGACACATGCCCCCCCCCACTCTCTTGCTTATTTCTAGGGGCTGCTTTCCTGTTACAGTCGCAGGCAGCATTGAAGAGTTAGGGGCCAAGACTCCACACCCATCAACCCTGAGACATTACTTATAGGTTATTTCTATTAAAGAAAACGTCTTCTGACCCCAAGATTTACAACATGGGCATGTATGGCATGTCTAGCCTTTTAAATTGGGTCACAGTGTCGTTCCTCAGTGGCCTGAAGGGAAGCTGCCTGCAGGACTCAACTTCCCTTGCAGGTGAACTGCCCTCAGCTAAACTCTGAGCTGTCCTGTTCCCCGTTCAGTCCCCATCCCCATCCCTGCCCCCCCCATCCCCGTGTCGTACCCCCGCCCCGTCCTCGTGTCCCCCTGCTCCATCCCCGCACCCACCCCTACTTTGTCCCCGTGTCGTCGTGCCCCCTCCCCGCCAGGGAAGGTCTACGGTTCCCTCAGTCTTTGGATGGAGCAGCCTGTACTCAGTGACGTACTGACTTGGGCCTCTGGGTGAAACACAATCTATGGCACACTCTAGAGAGCTCTATCTGAGGTAGGCCAAAGCAGAGGTGGTATCCCCGCATACCTCTCTCTCTGCCCTTCACAAATCATCCTCTCTTCCTTTCGAGTCTCTGTCACATGCCATAACCCCAGAATCTCTGTCTCAAACTTTGCTTGTAGAGAACCTGGTCTACGGTAGCATTAGAACCAATCTATCCTGGAAGAACTAGGCTCTAATTCATGTGCTGAAACCACCACACTGACCTCGGGACCACGGGTCATAAACCAGTGATCATAGCTCTCACACCTATTTATGTGTAAGTCTGGTTATAAATGCGTGTGCATGTGTGTACATGCAAGCATGTAGGAATTACATGGAATATGTTATGCATGTAAATTATCTACATAAAATACATGTTAAGTCTTATTTTGAGATGCCTACTTCTGCTAATCAGTCTTCCTGCTGTCTGAAGCTTGGTTTATCACACATTTGCAGCTTCTGTCACTCCCTCTTTCCTTGGGTGACACCCAGAGAAAGCCCCGTTTGTTCTGCTTGGTTGGCTCAACTGCTCGGGTGGCGATGTCTCAGGCTGTGCCTGAGCGTAGGGGAGGCACAGGGACTTCGGCTCTCAGCCAGCCCCATGGCTCTCACCTCTGCCATCTCGATTTTTCCATCTGAGTTCTTGTCATACTTCTGCATGAACTCCTTCATCTTCTCTCCAAAGTTGTCACTCTTTGACATCTGCGGACAGAGAGAGGAGGCTGATCTTGCTGCCCTGTTATGTAGGGGTGAGGCACTCGGTGAAGCGGAGCTGGGAGTCATTTCGTGTCCCGGACACATGACTCAGGAACCGGAGATACCAGAGCTCAGAGGGTCAGTCTCTACCTTAGGTCTCACTCACAGGACTATGAAAGGGAGGCGGGACACATGGGCATGTTCTGTACCATGTGATTGGATGCACCCTTTGACCCTTGAGATGGGTTGAGCCACAGCTCCATAAGGGGTCTGGAATGATGTCCACCACTCGGATGTGAGTTACAGCTTTTAGCATAACCCAGCTCAACCCATTATTCCACAGAAGGTTCCAGCCACCAATACAAAACGAACCGCTCATTTTCCTCTTCAAAGACAAGTCCACGGTTCTGCAGCGTTCCTATCTGAATTCTTGCCAGAAGGAATGTGAGGACATCACACAGCTGAGGGAAAATCGAAATCCTCCCCTCAACTATTCCAAGCATAGAAAAATAAATTACTTACTAGGAGTTCCTTTAGCCCATTACCCCTCAACGTAAGCACAGTGGTCTCCTGATGGTTGGAACCTTTTCCTGGTGTGGGGTACGTCTGAGTTGTCATCTGCACCAAGGAGCTCTTTCTGATCCTTCGTCAATGTTGCAGCCCCCACCCCATGCACATCTGCGCTTCTCCTTCAGTTCCCCGAGGACTTCCTCTGGGGTTTCATGCTCCTTGGAACTGGCCCAAGAGAAATCCTACAAATTCTAAGAGCTTTTCTGGATTCCTTCTGTGTCGCCTTTGGAACCTAATCTCAACTTACCAATATCTGTCAGTCAGTATTTATTTATATTTACAAATATGCAAGTGCTTATTTGTACTTATTTGTTGGCAAGTACTTAGCATAAATGCGGGCAACCTATGAGAGGTTTACCATGGTTCCCAGTGAGCAAGTTATCTCTGCATCTCACACATAAATGGAATCCAAGATGCAGCGACTTCCCTCAAGATCATCCAGGTAAATGTGGGCAGAAGTTGAAAGCCTCCCTCCAGCTCCCAAAGTCTTTTTGTTTTCTACCACATGGCAGATGCTCAGGGAACCAACCAGTCCTGGATGAGAGCGGCTGGGATTGCCATGGACAGACTCGGGAGTCACCCTCACGCCAGCTGAGGAAGAGGATGACTAAGAAAAGAGTGCTTGGGTTTGGCTCTCTCGTCTCAACACATTCCTCTGCGAGTCCTGGATCCCACAGTCATTCTGAAGCTGTGGTTCCTCTAACCCGTGCTCACATCATCCCAGCAATGAGGGATGATGTAAGAACTGTTGACAAATGCATCCCGGCATCGCCCCCAGCTCTCTTAAGCCTGTGGCTTTGGCATGCTTCTCTCCGGGATGCTTTGCTGAGCATTGAGCCTGGAGCTCACACGTAGCGAACTTCTCTTAAGAAGAGAGCTACTAAGTAGTAGCTCTAAGTAGCTACTAAGTAGTAGCTACTAAGTAGTGGGCAAGACGTCGGGTGGGAAGAAAGAGGCAAGAGACAGTGGGACCCGTAGGAAGGAGTGGGCTCTGTCTAGACACGGACACAACAAACCAGCCCCAGTCGGTATTTCGCATAGCTCTCCCAGGAGGTTTTAGCAAACTCAGAAGGGCCAGGTTGGTACTGGAGGAAATAACATTCCTATTATAGGGACTGGATCATGAACTGGAGTCACTGTATACAGGTCAGAGTTCTCGACTTCTCCATCACTAGGGCACACAGTATGTATGGTCAGGGCTCAGAGGAGACTACTGAGAAGCCCTCGACTTTTCTCCAGGTCCTTACAGGGGAGCCAGCCTTTGTTGGTCTAGAACACTGGCTTCTGCTCCTCATTCTCCACCAGGGAACATTTGATAATGTCTAGGACATCAGCTGTCCTCCAGGTCCTTACAGGGGAGTCAGCCTTTGTTGGTCTAGGATTCTGGCTTCTGCTCCTCATTCACTTCCAGGGGACATTTAGTAATGTCTAGGACCTTTTTTTTAAGATGGGGGTCTCACTATGTAGATCTGGCTGTCCTGGAACTCACAATGTAGACTATGGTGGCCTCAGACTCACAGAGATCTGCTTGCCTCTGACTCCCAAGTGCTGGGATTAATGGTTTGCACCATCACATCCAACTTAGGACATGTTTATTGCCATGACTTGGCTATCTATGGGTGGGTACAAGGGTTTGGCTAAACACACTACAATGTAAAGACATCCCTCACGACAAAAATTATCCAGCCACCGATGTCCACAGTGTTGAGGCTGAGACACTGTCATTTAGATTGTAGGTGTTTGAGGTCCTCTGAGAACCCCATCTTGAGTTATAAACCCTCGGGACTCTGGACTTTGTCTCCTGGAAAAGATATATACATGCATACATAAACACATACCTGTGTAGTTTGGGGAATTTTTCAACTTTGGCTTTCTTAATGGTTATCTCTCTAAGACACCCAAGGAGATTGAGATGAGGTATTCTTAGGGGGAAAACCCGGCTTTTATATATATATATATATATATATATATATATATATATATATCCTTACAAATGAAAGACTCTTAAGTGTCAAGACCAAAGAGACCCCAGATCTGCTGACTGCATGCATCACAAGACAGGCCATTCTCATACTTGGATAGGTCGAGGCGACAGAATTCCCCAGGCACAGGGGTGAAGTGAAGCCTTACCATGCCAGAGCCTTTCCTTGCCTTCTCCAGCTCTTGGAAGAAGTTCTCTAGCTCTTTGCCTTCAATGTACCCGTTTCCTGTAAAGACAGATGAAAACAAATGGAAAAGACTTAACCTTCAAGCTAAATAGTAAGACTAAGGGGAGGAGGAAGATGCCAACACCACGGAAAACGTTGTTCTGCTAGTCTGCAAACAGGTGTCTTGGCCGGCCATGTTAAGTATGGGTCCTTGTCCTCAGGGCACTGGTAGGCATACGTGCAAGGTTAATAATGAGTGTCCTTGGACTGTTCAGCCAGCAGCTACAGTGCACTGGAGGGACGCACATCTGGCCAGCTGGCAGAGACAGCTGCTGTTCATGAGCAAGCACTGAGCGCTGGAGGTTCCTCAGGAAGTGTCATCTGCATCGGGACTTGTCAGCAGGGGACAGGCCTGGGCCTGGGAAAGAATTGGGTTTCTGGGGTTGAGAAGGTATTTAGAGTCGGGTTCTTCCAGCACCCACCTGGAGCCTTAGAGTGTGGCATTCTTTGGGAGTAGGATCTTTATAGACGTCACTTTTTATGAGGGAGTCAAGGCAGAGAGAAAACAGGTAGAAAGTAGAGTGACGTATTTCCAAGCTAAAGACCATTTGTGAGCTTACTGCTGCCTCTAGAAGCTGAGGCATGTAACAGATTCTCTCCCCACAAAGCCACACACACACACACACACACACACACACACACACACCTTGGTTTCAAATGTCTAGGCTCAAGAACTGGAAAGGCTTTCTGTTGTGTGAGGTTACCCAATCTGTGGTACTTTGCTATGACCATCCTGAGAAACAAATGTAGAAGGGAACCATGAAAGAAAATTATTTAGCCCATTCCATCTGCAGACTGGGTTATTATAATTAAATAGTTCTGCTTGCTGCTGTTTGAGACGTCTTACCTTGCAGCCCAGCCTGGTCTCAAATCACTGCTTCTGCCTTCTAAATGATAAGATTATAGCCATGTGGCTTGCCTGAGATTTTTTGGAAGTAGGGAGGAGCACACATATACTTATGTATGTGTGGGGGGTTGTGTGCACCCATGTGTGCATATATGAAGACAAATGTCAGTCTTGTGTGACTCCCTCTATCATGTTCCACCTTATTTTTTTGAGGCGAGGACTCTCACTGAACCTGGATCTGATTATCTTGGCTGGATCAGCTGGCCATAGTGACTTTAGGGATCTACTTGTCTCTCCCTCCAAACTCTGGAGCTACAGATGAGCACAGCCACATCTGGCTTTGCTCTGTCTGCCGGGGATCACACTCAGATCCTCTACTTCTGCAGCCAGTTCCCCAGCTACTAAGTGGGAGTTTTGTATGCGAACCACACAGCCTATTATGAGGGTGTCACCAATATCAGTGTTGTTTGAGCCCAGTTGTTGGCGTCTAAGTGCAAGATGAGAAAGGACCCAAGGAAAAAGTGCAATGACCAGAAGCAGCTCTGACTTCTCTGAAGATCACACGAGTAGGGAGGGGTCATTGAGATTCTGACAACTGGAGCCTGAACGACCCAGACACCAGTGCAGAGCTCAGCTAGTGGCCAAGGTCACTGGTCTGGGCTAGCACTTATAGGAGGGAACTCAAACAGGACTAAGGCAGCGGTTCCAGGATTTACCGCACATTGGAATCCCTTGAGGATCATTAAAAAAAATATGGATGTCTGCCTCTCACCATTAGACATTCTGATACTACCAGCTTGGGGTGTGAACTAAGATTGTGCCTTCTTTTTAAGACTCCCAGGTGGTTTCCCTGCGGGGCAGCATTAGTCAATCACTAAAGTCAAGCTCCACATCTGATCAACAGCCGGAGAGCAAGGTCCTCGTAGAGGAGGCCCAACTTGAATCGTTAAGAAAGCGGTCACGTTCTTCAAGGGCATATGAAATTGCAGACTTAACAAAAGAACAACACAGAAACATTTGCCTTGGCCTCTGTGGGGAGCATCGGGGTGGGAGGATCTCTCTGGTCTCCCTTCCTAGTGCCCCTGAGGTCTTGACTCCCAAATAAATAACCTTGGAGGCCATGCTTCCTGGGGAAAATGCTTCAATAAATATAGTGCCGAGAGAATTGCATGAGATGAATTATGCATTTATTTTTGTCCGCAAGGAAAAGGTGATTACTGGGTTCCTCTGGGATGAGGCAGTTGTCTTTTCTTCTAGGATATTCTACAAAGTTCTTCGGGAGAGTTGGAAATTCACAAGAGGATGGGGCTTGTTGGCCAGCTGGGGTGGGGGTGGGGTGAGCTGGAGAACAGAGGTTTTGGTGATTAGCCACCGAGTTGGTGCCTAGTAACTTTACTCTCCCGCTGTGACCTGACAGTTGTCCCATGGCTTAGGTGAAGCTTCCCTGTGGCTAGGAGCACAAAGCCTTAGTCTCTACACTCTCTCTCCTCCTTCTTTACAGGTTAGGCAGCGTGGTAGGAAGCCGAGCTCAGCTCTGAGGCCATCTGCAGCTTCCAGAAGCCCGAGGCTAGGGTGGGTGGAATGGGGGGGGGGGCTTAGAGCTGATGAATTAGGGTTCATGATATAGAGGCCACAGGGACCGGGGCCAGGGTCCCAGGTCAGGTACGTGGATGAGCGTGTGTTTCCTGGGGGTGTTAGAAGGTGGTTGATGGGAACTGGAAGGAGAGGCAGCCACGTGAGGAGAAAGTCTTCACTCAGCTCCGCATAGCATTCCTTACCAAAAGCCCTCACCTGGGCCTGGCTTCACACGGCTCTGTCATTTCTCTAGACCCTGTACCTAGGGGGTTGGCCCTTCCCATATAGGGACCAACACCATTTTCTCCTCCTGTGACGCCCAGACTGTGAGCATCGCCTCTCCGAACCTCAGTTTCTTCAGCTATAAAACGAGAATAATGATAGAGCTTCCTTCTGTAACTGCTTGAGAGAGGCAGCTAAAGAACCATGAACTTAAGGTGCTGGCCCACAGCAGTACTTGGGAGGGCAGGAGGATCAGGCGTTGCCCCCTTGATGAGAATGGCCAGTAACTTTGCCAATATAAGCCTGAGCTGGCTAGTTGAATCTGTGTAGTGAGGCCCTATCATGGACCAAACAAAATCAGCAACAAAGACGCCAAGAGAAAACGAAATGTGTCAGCTGTCATTACCTCCATGGTTCCTGCCTCTGCTCCATGTTAGTAACACTTGGGTTTTGGACTACTAACTGATGATGTAATGGAATAGAGGTGATTTTCCCAAGGACCTTTGGGCAGGATGGCTAAGAAAGAACTCTCTGAGAAGTCCCAGACAATCAGAAGAGAGAGAGAGAAGGAAGAGTAAACTTGGAGGCAGGGAGAGGGGGCCAGGAGCGGAGATGGTGACTTGGCACCAAGAAGCCCCTTTCCTGGATACAGAGAACAGCAAGCGGGTTCCCACACGTGCTGGGGCGCGATAAGAATCTCCCTGTGTGTCTGAACAAAAGGAGAAAATTGAGCTACATGCAGCAGGCGTTCATGTTTCAAATTGAACAACAGCTCCAAGCTGCAGACATGGCCCTGTTCCCACAAAGCACAGAATGAACGGGGGTTGTGACTAGCCTTGAAAAGCCAGACGAGCCATTGACAGTGGAGAGTGAGAAGTGGGGGGCAGATACACAGGTGTCCACTGGGGGCACAGATCTTCCCTCTAAGGCCATCCCCAACCATCATTTAGCTTTCCTGGAAAGCTGGGGTACAGGAGCAGTTGGCCAACATCTTTCTAGGCAAGAGGCTCGCTTTTTCTGTGACCTTGTTACAGTTGTGGGGGGGGGCAAGCAAGTCTCATGTGGATGGGCATTGATAAAGATGTGGTTACCATAGTAACCATCATTACTAGCCTCCTTCCAACTATGAACACGAGGGAGAGGGGGCTGAGAGGAAGCTGGGGACCTTGCATCCTTCCTGAGCCTACTTTTGTTTCCATATTTCAGCACCGTGTACCTCAAAGCTAAGGACAGATAACATTTCGTTATCATTAATCTGACCATGGAGGATTGGAAACTCTTGACTGAACGGTGCTGTACCCCAGAAAGGTTTATCTGTTCCTCCCTGAGGTTTGTATGTACAGATTTTCTGAGGTGAGCAGGCAAAAGGTACCCAAGAAGGAGGAGGGACTGCTTTCACAACTGTCCGTTGCTCTAGAACAGGTCAATTCCGCTGGGCCTCAGTTTCTCTCTCAAGCGGGCCAAACAGCTCAAACCCCTTCTGCTTTACAGATCCATCAGGAGAGCCACACAAAGTGATGTTTTGGAAACATCCTGGAAGCTGCAACATCTATAAGTGGAAGGCATCATTTTTTCATTTCCCCACCTCCTCAGCCCTAAAGGTTTCTGACAAGCACCGCTCTCTTTAGGGTGCTGGTTCTCAACTGGATACCTGGGGCAGCTTCGACAATGACGCCTTTGCCTGGGTTCTGCACCAGGTGTTTTCTGATTTAATTGAGGCGGTGCGGGAGCCTTTCAAGCTCCCACGGCTGGTTGTACATCTCAGACATGGAGGTGTAGAGCCATTGCCTGGGGATCTTGTTTACAGTGAAGTACCACGGAAGAGCTGACTGCTCCTGCGTGGTGTGTGGACTGGTGGCAGCCTGGGAACTGGTTAGAAATGTGGACTCCAAGCCGAAGCCGGATCAGTGTAGAGTGAGACAAAGCGTGTGTGAGATATTAGTTTGGATTCCTAAGCCCCGCCCCCAGAAGGAGCAGACTCATAGGCCCCTCCCTCGGCTTTCTGCTTCTCTGGGTGAGCTGTTTAACCAGACCTCAGGTGCTCTCTGATTGCATGTGGCTAAGTGTGCCCAGGGGACTTGTCAGTTAGTTTGCAGAGCAGGCACTGGCCATTTCCAGAGGCCTTCTCCTTTCTGCCTTGCTCGCTCTCTAGGTTTCTATACCACCCCCCCCCCACCGACAGGTGCTATTAATCCCACCTTGGAGGAGAGGACTTGGTGTTGGGGGTTTCCATCACCCTGCTAACAGAGGCCACAACATCCTTTTGTTCATCCCAGGGATAAGGTCTGTCCATAGCTGTGCTTGCCTGGATTTCATTATCCATCATACATACATGTATGTTCCCCACACCTCTTCT